AATACAACCATACCTGCATCAGGAGAGACTCTCTGCAGGAAGAGTAACTAAGAAAAAAAACTTGCTGGTTTTAATAGGTAAGTATTAGCCAGCAACTTGTGAGAACAGCAAACTTATACAAAGGGTAACTTCAGCCCTAATGACACCCAGGGAAGCAATTCCTGGCCCTGTGTGCACAGCACTGGAAAGAACATTATTACACTGGAGTGTGCAGTTCTGACCTATACATAACAACGTGGCTGTGGGCATCATAAAGCAAGTGGAAAGGAGGATCATAGGAGTGTCCCAGGAACTGACAAAACCATCCTGACAATGCAAGGACTACGGAATTTTTGATGAATTTAGTGTACTAAAGAGTAAACCTAGAGTTCATCTGAACAACGTGAAACACTTTTTTCATAGAAAAGAGATCAGATAATGTAGCCTTTTTAATCCTGCTGTCAATAGCATAAAGATCCACTGACTGAAAGCTAACGTGAGACAGATTGAATCTCAAGGGAAAATTTCCTAGGGAAAGTATAATTAAATATCAAAACTGGTTACCAGAAGAGGTGATAGACTTGCCTGGATCTGAAGACTTTAAAACATGTATTTTAATGCTGCTTCTAGAAGAGATTTTATGGTCTAAACAGCTGGGAACAAAGAAAGAAACTGGTCTAAGTGCTCCAGGAGAACCCTCCTGACTCTGACTCTCCCAAGAGTGGACCAAATTTACTCCACGTCCTGATCTTGTATTTCTCTATTTGCAGCATGGGTAAAGTCAAAACTCACTGCACAGCTTTGGATGCTCTGTGGAGGGAAGCAGGAAAGATTTTTCCATCTATGCATGTTTGACCAGGTACACTGTGGCTTTTCCTTGGCTGATGTTATCTGAGGCATGAGAGCAGCAGCAGCTGGAGCTGTGGGCACTGTATGGAGAGCCACTGCTGTGCTCTGCAGGACAGCCCTTCTCCTGTAGAGGAGTCCCCTAAGGGGCTGGCTGGTGAGCATTACTTGGATGCCCAAAAGCATGCAGATCATTTGATGTGATATTGAAAAGGAAATTTCCAAGGGCCTCGGGGGACAGGTTTTTTTTGCCTATGTCCCTTGCACAATGCACAGCTTGCCTGTTAGAATCATGTGGACATATTTTAATTAATACAGTTCTCATCTCTGCTGCTCACTGCCAGGAGCACAGTTTAATGTCCTGAGAAAAGCAGCTCCTCAATCTGCCTGAACTTTGGGCTTAATATAAGGAAACTTGATCGAGCATCTGAGCACAAGATGATTTACTATGATATTTATTATATCATTTTTTCTTTAGTGCTCTTGATCATGAAAAAATGCTCAATTTACCATACAGATAGGACTGAATAGAATCACTGTTTCACAATCAACTTACCCACCTCCTTTTGGGTACTTTATTTGTTCTCTGTATTAACAAAGTGGGTAGGAAGAGCAGGGAGCAGTTACTTAAATGTGATATACCAATCATACAAGCCTGGGAAGTGTATCTGCTTCTGTGAGCTGACAGTCCCTTTTCTCTCCTAAGCCATACTCACAGTCTGTAGTTTGAAACCCTGTGACCTTTCTGGTCTACCTGAAGGATTGCTCTCACTGTCTGGCTTTATGCAAGCAAGAAAGCTGAGTCTTGTAATCATGTATATCCACCGTGATTAACTCCTGCCTGCCCATATAAAATCATGTCACAATAATTACCCTCTGTGTGTGCACACGTGTATGTTTGTTCCTGTGCCTACACGTGTCCCTGAGCTTCAGGCTCTTGGCTACAGCATTATCATTCACACCAAGACAAACAATCAGCTCAAAGCTGTCCCAGATGGGTTAAGCTCAGCCAAAACCAGGCAGTACCAATTAAAGGTCCTAGTTTTATTTTTCATTCAGGATCATGGTGCCTCTTTCACACACACTTCCCAGAGCTGTCACACTGCCACGATGTGAGTTCTTGGGACTGGCACTGTTCAACATCTTTGTCAGCAATGTGGGCAGTGGGATGGAGTCACCCTCAGCGAGTCTGCAGACAACACCAAGACTGAGGGGCAGCCAGCATGCTGGAGGGAAGGGATGCCATCCTGAGGGCCTGGACAGGCTGGACACATGGGCCCGAGAGAATCCTACTAAAATCAACAAAGCCAAGTGCAAGGTCCTGCACTTGGCTTGGGGCAATCCCAAATACAAACAGACTAGGGAGAGAATAGATTGAGAGCAATCCTGAGGAGAATTGGGGATGCTTGAGGATGGGAGGCTCAGCATGACCCAGCAATATCCACTTGCAGCTCAGATATCCAATCATATTCTGGACTGCATCAAGAGAAGCATGGCCAGCAGGGTGAGAGAGGTGATTCTCCCCCTCTGCTCCACTCTGGTGAGACCCTACCTCAGTATTACATCCAGCTCTGCAGCCCTCAGCACTTGAAACTCATGGACCTGTTCAAGTGGGTCGAGAGGAGAGACTTGAAGATGACCAGCACCTCTCCTATGAGGACAGGCTGAGAGAGCTGGGCTTGTTCAGTCTGGGGACAAAAAGGCTCCAGGGAGACCTCAGAGACCCTTCCAGTACCTAAAGGAAGCCTACAAGAAAGCCCTATCTCTAGAAGTTCAAGGCCAGGTTGATGGGGGGTGGTCTCTGAGTACCCTGGTCTAGTGGAAGGTGCCCCTGCCCATGGCAGGGGGATTGGAACTAGAGGATTTTCAACCTCCCTTCCAACCCAAACCATTCTGGGATTGTATGATTATTCTGTGTCATCATTTCCCTTGTGACTGGCTGGCAACATTTCCCCTAGGTTAACCAGCATCAGGAGTGCTCTCACTTGTGGAGACTCCAGAGAGCTGCCTTTGCAAAGCTGACATTTCCAGAGTGTGGAAGAGCAGGCTGCACTCATCACTGTCACAGTACAGGGACTAAAAAGAAAACACATGAAAAGATGGGCAGCTTTTCAGGGAATCCTGGCTCAAAAGATGCAAATCCTGCTTCAATAAAAAATTAATCTGGGAGATTCATTTCAAGGTGTGGGTGATGGCAAAGATAAACTAGAATGCTAAAGAGCTTAAGCATTCAGGGTCACCTCCAGCCTCAAAAGACATTGTATTTTTTCATTCTTAAATGATATGAGAGGCAAAACTCAGAAGACACAAGTAAGGTTTGATTCCAATTTCTGTATTTGGAGGCCCTTCACTCAGACTTTTCACACAGGACAGATTCTCTCCTGCAAGCACAGGAGCTCAAGTGGTTTTCCCTTTTCAAGTCTTCTAAGGGATTCTTGCTGAGATGCTCAAAGGTTCTCTCCAGTCCCACTGCTCTAGGCACACTTTAAAGCACTCCTTTTTATGTGTGCCCATGATCTGCTAAACTTTACTCTTTCATTCTCTTTATTGATATTCATGCCATTTATATCTCCACCTGTTTGTTCCTTCTGGAGTCTGATCCCAGATCTCCCACGCAGACCAGCAGAGGTTTGGTGATTTAGTTCACTTAGAATGACAACAAGAACACACTTACCAGGAAAGTGTGTGTAACCTCAATGACTAAAAGAACACTCTATTTCCCAAATATTGCCAAACAGATCAATATGGGGGAAAAAAACCCAAAAAACCCCAAAACAAACACCCACATCCCCACCCATCCAAAATAAAAAGGACATTTAAAACATTCCAATGCTTTGAGATAGCAGTAGGGAGTAGTCAGACTGTTTTCTTAGTCAGGTTGGAGAGCAGAAGCTGTGTTTTGCACAGGCAGGTACAACGGCAAAAGCTCACTTCATCCACATCCCCAGTTTCAGAAAAGAGTTTTACCTCCCTTCTACCAAAATATTAAAATTAAGCCATGGAAAAAATGTGTTCTACCCTACTTGTGTCTCCCCCTGCCAAATAAAAGTTGTACCATCACAGATGATTATCGAAATTTCCCCAGAGACCAAGCACATGCCTGGGGTTCAGTTGTCTGACACCTGGCATGCTGCAGAACAGCCATGAGAATCTGGCTCAGCTTTGTTGTACAGAAATGGCTATTGAGTTGTGAGACAATCCATAAACTACAGACAAGCAAGAAAAAAATGCAGACAGAAATGAAACCATTCAGATGGTTCCAGTCAGTGGTTCAAGACAAAAACAGTGACAAAAGAAGCTCTAAAGCCCTAAGAGAAGAAAAAAAAGGAGAATTAAAAGACAGCATTTTATCACACTGAATAAGCTGACTGATGCCAATCTGCCAATTAACCCATCATCTATTAAGTCTCTGCATCTGCAATGGAGGGCACATTGACACCACAGTAGCAGTCTAATCCTAGTTGACTACTACGTGCATTAGACAATAAATCACCACTGTGTACCCTTAAACTGCATGTGTCCTGCCTGCCCAGTCCCTCTGCACACAGAGCTGCCCCAACACGAGTGCCCCAGCAGAGGGAGGGGGGCACAGAGCCCCCCAGCCTGCAGGAGCCAACTGCAAGCTCATTAAAACCTTCAAACATCACAACCAGAGCCTTCCATGGGGCTGCAAAGCACAACCAGAGAACAATTCTCCTGATTCTGTTCAGGACTTAACCCAGAGGCAGGCAATGTGCTCATACACACACCTGGGAGCGAGTGCATGACTTCATTCTATGGCTTTGAGCAGCGTGCCAACAACATGCTGTTTCTGAGTATCTTTCTCTGGATAGCCAACATGTATCCGAAAATTATAACCCAAAAGCACAGTAAAAGGAGCTCAAGAGAAATAAACAGAGTGACAGTGTTGCTGCTGTTACTGCCATTTCTGCTGCTTAATCTGACTGGTGACATGAAAAAGCACAAGCAGACAACAGCTGCTTTAGAGTCAAGACCATCAGATCAGCTCTGTTTTCCAGAAAGCAGCAGAACATCTAAATTTCTGTGCCCCAGAATGGGCACCTGAGAGAGCACCTCCCAAATCCTCCACCAGTAACCTGGGCTAGGCACCTCTTTAGGTCATTACCCACAAAGGTCATCTGTATCAGTAGGATCAGATTCTGAGCAAAATAAACATGGAGCCACTTCAGCCTGGCTGCCCACATGTCTTCTTTACAGCACTGACACATTTTCATTTCCCTTGTATGGTAAGAATTTAAAAGTTTTAAAAGAATGCAAAGCTCATGCACTTGCTTCTGCTACCAGAACATGGACAAGCCAATTTACTCTGTTTTTTCAACCTGTGTGTTGAAAGGAAGGGTAGAAATAATGTAATAGGTAGGTATTAAATAATAGAGTTGATAAAGGGAGCCAGAGCAGACAATGTGAGCACGTTTAAATTACAACTCATACTACTGATGTCCTGTGACACTATCAGGACTTCAACACAAGGTGAAATGGGGTTAGGTGAAACTCTACTGCAATTCTGAAGAAATCACAGAATACAGCAATGTTATCTGTAGAAGTGACTGAAGAAGGAGGAGCATAATGAAATGGAAATAATTTCCTCCACTTTTTCTCCTGTGCTGAAAATCTGTACTGAAATTGCAAGTGCATCCCCTCTCATCTGGGCAAAGAGTGAGGGATCTTTAGCATCCACTCTCAGTGGACTTCATTCTCTTTCCCATCACGTTCAGCCAGTGTGATGATGACAGGGACTGAATATGTCAAAGCCATTAGGAAAAGCAGAAGAAAATCCTGCACTTCTTAATAATCAGGAAAGAATTTTGGATACGAACAAAAATGTCCCCATTACTGGGGTTTCACGTCCATGCCCAGGGACAGAACAGTGCAATGCATCCCTGAATCTCTAAGAGTGCACACATCTCTTAGCTCAGGAAAGAGAAATGATGAGTTTCTCTTGGTCTCAAGCACTCACTCCTCTGTGACCACATTTCTTGGTAACCCGAGAAAGACTGTATATGTTTTTACATAATGGGAACAATCATACTGTATAATAAATAAATACTGTGAATTCAAACCAGTCTCTTTTTGGACAGGATTCACCTCTGTCTCCTCCCCTATACCCTGTTGTTCACTGAGGCTTTGCTCCTTTCTGCATCTTCTCTCTCCTAGACAAGCAAAACTCAATTTTGGACCTTAACAATTACCTGTCTCACCTCAGTACCTCCCTCCACCCACATTAACTGTGCTGCTTTTGTTATTTTATTCCCTTTTCAAGACCAAAGCCCAACTTCCCCTGTTTTCCACTGCTGGTGGTCTAGTTCCAACGTAGTGACAACCCAAAAGAAATGCTGACCAGGGAGATATGGAAAATCTATGAGCCTGGGAGACCAAAACCTCAGAAAGCAAGCAGAAGGAAAGGTCTGAGCTGCCCCAAGTGCTTTCAGATGGACAACCAGAAGACCAAAAAGTAGGGTCAGGGACAAGACATGGAAGACTAGAGATTACATCAGGTCTGTATGGCTGTTTCAATATAATGTAAATATTTCTTTTTTAATTTTTGGTTCTGCCTCCCTTTGATAGTATGCCATATACAGTCGTTAAGAGCTGAGTGGATTTTTATAGCTGCTATTAGAATTGAATTTTATCTCCCTCCACAAAGATTTAATAAATTAAATTTCAAAGGCAAAATTAATCACTTACTGCCATGCCCATTCCCCCATTTTCACTGTGAAATAAATTCATCAACAAGAAAGTTTTCACATGATAATCAATATCCATCAAATTCTGAACTTCAGCTTCAAGTTAAAGGCTAATAACCCTTAAATTAGTGACACATAGCAACACATCTTTGTTCTCCTTGGGCCACAGGGCCTACCCATTTGCATGAATCACTAATACACTGAATTGTTGATTCAGATCAACAAAGCTTTCAAATGCACTGTCTTGTTGATAGCCTCTATAAAACACACCCATAGCTCAGAAATGCTGATCCACACTAATGCATTTACTTCCAGTATTTGCTATACAGTCTAATAAAAATATTAATGCACCAGAAGTGCTGATGCAGCCCTAGAGCAAGATTTCCTCACCATAGAAGCATCTCAGTTTTCTCTCCCATGAGCTGTGCTTTCAGTAAATGTCAGGCTGGAGCATACCAAGGAGGAGAAAATATTAAGCTGTTGTGTCCTCATCAGTCAGACAAGGTCATGGTGGTTCAGAAATGGTGATGTGTTTCTTGCCAAAGAGGCAGGGTGAGAGAAACAGAGAATAAAGTATCCTGCAGATGAAGGAGATGAGGGATAAATGTTGAGGTTGGATAGAATCAATTTTATTCTGCTTTAATTTGGTTGTGTCAGGTTATCAGGTTGCTTGGGTGTGTCAGGTGTAGGTCCTGAGGGCTCAGAATTTAGTGATTCCCCAGGTGAGTCAGGAAAGACCTTGGTGGTTTGACAGCTACTACCAAGGACTCCAACTGTGTGACACACATTGGTCCACCCATTCTTCTGTCACAAAAGCTGCATGGATTTGGGAACAAAACTTCTATAATCTTAGTGCACTTTTTAAACCACCAGTGGGGATTAGAGAGAGCCAGGCACAAGATTCTATACTACAAACATGGCTCTTATAAGATGGCCTTTATACAGCCTCACACATATTAGGAATTGATCAGCTTTTCTAAAGACTGAAACTCTCCTTTTGAAGAATGAATGACTTGAAATAGGCAATTCCACTGTTTCCATTTTCAAAGAAACTTTTTATTCATCACCTTGGAAGGTGAAGTCAAAGCCAAATGCAACTGCCAACATCCTTCTTCAGTCTAATGACATACATTTGTAAATAAAAGATATTTAATTAAACAAATAAATACGAGGGATAATCTAAACAAGTAAATTGCTTGTAGAGAGTGTCATTAAAGTAACCAAAACTGAGATAGTAATTTATAAACACTTCACATATTCTAGCCAAGACCTGTACTAAAAAACCCACTCACCACTAGAGCACACCAGCTACACCAGCTCTACAGAACAGTGAATAAAAACTGTTAGCTACCAACGTGTTCCAATATCCCAGGACAGCTCCTTATAATTAACAAAATTTAGTAAGTTACTACCAATTTATTGATTTACTTCACCTTTTAATGGACAGACACTTTTGTTGCTGTCACTCTACAGGTGTGCAATTTGCAATATCACTTTTCAGCAAATGTCTGTACCTGCTGATCAAGGACAAAACTCTCTCCTGAAGAGCAAAAAAAAATTAGTCCTGCACAGAATTGATGTGAGACACTCAGGAAAAGCTCAGAAAGGCTGAGTTGAGAAAAACAAGCAGCAGAGTAAACACTAAGGCCACCACAGCAGGCACATCTGTCCTTCTGTGAATCCATTCCTGTCTGTGGAACACAATTAAATTTGACTTTACTTGACAGTGCTCCATTGAAGCTTCAGAGTAAGGCACTTAAAAATGCATTCATAGAATAAATTAAGTATCTTTATAGGTGTTCATACAAATTCTTTTTCGACATAGGTTTTCATTGAACAGATAAAAGTTGGGGCAGATCTGTAATTACTATGAACAAGAATATTTTACTCAGACGAATTTAATGGATTTACTATTGAAACCGATTTATTGACCTTACAGTTTGTTTCATTAACTGCTTAAAGGCTAGCAGGATGAACCTATATTGTTATTTTACTTTTCTGATGCATTCCACAAAATCTTAAAAATACAACTACATAATCAGAGACATGTGAAAAAAACCATTAATGACACTCTTTACTCTTGGGTAATAATGCCACACAGAGAGATACACAGGACTCTGTTGGGAAGACAGCAACAAAAATGGAGTGTCTTCCTGAAGTGTACTCATCATTAATAATTTCTCCTTCTGAATGCTCCCACAAGCACAACTCCTCACTTACACTCCAGTAGCTCCCTTCAAAGGAAAGCCTTAAGAGTATTTTATAAAAAGAGAAGTAAATTTCGTAGCTCACATATGAGAATCAGTATTGATATGATAAAAAACCCTAAACAACAGAACCACGAATCCTAAGCTAAAAATAAGCATTGTTACTCTGCAAGCTGGAAGAACTATCAGATTCCAGAAAATGGTAAAGCTGAAGAATTCAAGCAGAAAAGACACAGAGGAGAATCTCTACCAAAAAAACCAAAAAAATCCACACTGCAATAAAGAAATCAAGAAGTAGGACAAATATATGTAAGGATGGAAACATGGAATTATTTCTGAATAGTTATGACTGTCCTCTCTAACTTGGAGATTCTTTATCTAATAACATCTTTTGATTTCACTGTGAATTGTGTACTCTGGTCAGGAAGCCACTTTTTAATTTCAGACTGACTGCTAATGTCCCCTGCAAGACCTCTGCTCTGTTGGGCAAACAAATGTCTTGGGGAATAAAGAACTCATTAAGGTCAAAATGATAGTTTCCTGTAAAAGGCCAATGTGCCATTTAGCCTTACATATTTAGAAAGGTACACAGTAGCATCAGTAACAACTTTAACTAAACAAAATTTGCCCTGTGGAGTTGATTTCTGACAGACAATGGCAGCAGCAGCAGCAGCAGCAGCAAGCTGATGCTGAAACGTTTTTAAAGGGTGCCTTGAACAGGACAGGATTGTTCCTAGGACCAAAGGAGAAACCCTTCCAATCCCAGAAAGCCTGCTGTACCAGGAGCATGCCTCCAGCTATGCTGGTTTGGAAAATTTTAGACTTGACAGTTCAGCCATTTCCCAGGAGCAGGTTAGAGAAACTCATGTTGTTTTGCTCATGTTTAAAAATCAAAGAAAAATAATATTTTCTTTAAGAAGCTCTACACATACAGTGTGCAAGTGCAATTTGGCAAGGAAGAATAACAACTCACAAGCCATCAGATGAACTGGAGCCAAGCACTCCTTAGCAAAGTTACTGAAGTTTCTTACAGCTGACTGTGCTGAAAATCCATTTCCCCTGAGCAGGTTGCAGCCAGGGCTGTGTGAGGGCAGCCAAGGTTTTCCTACAAATGCAGATTCCTCTCTCAGCCTCAGCATAAAAAGCACATAAACAGTTTCTTATTTCTCCTCAGGCTCTGGCTGAGTGGGAAAAAGAGCACAGGAAGGTGGTCAGAACAGAAAGCAGAGAAGTATCCAAATTGATGAAGATGAGTTAAGGAAACTTTTATATATGCTAAAAAAAGCTATGGACCTCCAAAGCTCGGAATGGAATCTAAAATTTGAATCTCAGCATTTCAGAAATACTCTTCCTGTTAGTAAATAGCTTTGCAACACATTAAAAGGTGTGTCTTATTCCTCTTTCCATTAAAAACCCCAAGCTACTGATACTTCAGTTACTCCATTAACAAAACTGGTAGAAAATCAATGAATGTGAAGCATCTTCCTCAGTAAGACATGATAGGATTGCCACTATTAGAGGATGTAGCTACTAAATCTTTACCATAAGTCATTTAACACAGAAAATGTTAAATTACTCCAGTTCTGGTGTTTCCTAATTTTAAAACACTTTGCAGTTTTATTAAGATTTCTTTGGGGATTTTTTGGCACATAAACAGACACAGAAACTGATGGTATTTATGCAGAGTTTTATGACAGC